CAGACAACTGATTCTGCTTCTGTTCACATACAACATACTGCTGTTCCAGCTTCATTGCTAAATTCCCCTTTTCTAACTCCAAATCACCAACTCTTTTCTCCAAGATGAAGCCTAAGGATTCTCCCTGATGAAACTCTTCGTTAACTGAAAAAATAAACATTTTGCTAATTACTGCTTATGCTATTCATTAAACGTAGTACAGGACAGATTAAAAATGCATATTACATAGCATGAAAACACATGCTATAAACTTTTTTCATTCTACATGCCACCAGAACTACGTTTGTCTAGGTAGTTTAGGAATTGGGCCTGCGGTGACCACACCAAGCCCACCTCCGTGTTGAACTTTTGTGTTGGCTGAGGGTGAGACTTGCTCAATTTACTGAGAAGCACAAATGGTCTAGAAAATCTGGTGTTAGCATTACTGCTTGACCGACACCTTGTTGGGTTGTGTAGCAACCAGCCATCTAGGTACGCGTTGATGTGTACCGATGTGATGTGTACCGCACAGCAGTAACACCACCTGTTTTCACACTCTGGTGAATAGATATGGAGCCATGCAAAACCCAAAGGGGAGACCCTGCACTCGACTATTTGGCCCAGCTGGGCAAATCGAGGGAGTCACTGACTCACTGGGTATATCGGGTAAGTATCTAGCGAGGCTAACCAGTAGAAACAGAACACTGAGAATAATACGGTGTTGGGGTGGGCGGTTGAACATCGGGTCACTAGGCTCGATGATTCCTCCTCACCCCACGGCGTGGCTCACGGAATCATTACGAAGAACAGATTCCGAGGGGCCGCCCGAGGTTGCACCTGCCATGATGGTCGGGCAGGTCCCCTCCGGGAGTGTCTGCGGGTCCTCGAATGAGGAGTGACCCGTAGCGGGGGCAGGACTCAGGAAAAAAAAATTAATCCCTTGTCGCTGGGTCCAACAGACCCCTGGCTGGCAGAATGTGGGAGGTAAAATGTCAATGTATGAAGGCACTCACCCTGTTGGCAAATTCTATCCTCAAGTTGCTGAATCTCCTCTTTTAATAGGTTTTCCCTCTCGTCCTTGATGGTTTTTAAATCCTCTTTTTCTTGGATAACTTCAAGGATGTTCTGTTTGTAAGTTTCACATTGCATCATAAGTTGCTGATGTTTGTACCCAGCCTCGTTTATACTCTTCTTAAGTTCTGCAATCTCTCTCTGCAAAGTCTCATAATTTTTAGCCTGAAATAACATTCAAAATGATTACGAAAAAAAGCTATTATAGGGGCGGAGCTACATCATTGAACTTTCTATGTTGCATAGACGTGCACCACTGTAGCATG